CCCACATTTCTCCTCATAGAGCCCAGCCTCCCGGATAATCTGTTCTGCATATAGGTTGAAAAGGTATGGAGATAGGTATAGAGCTTCAAAATCCTTGCCTCCAAGCAGCTGATTTTACCCTCTTTAGGAGAGACTTGTTCCCTGGCAGTCCACAGTATGTTCCACACTCTTCTCCAGCACCACAATTCAAAGACATCAATCCTCCTATAATACTTAATTTTTGTCAAGCTCTTGGATGCGTAACAAATAATTGTGAAGACTATGGCCTGGATCAGGAGAGGTCCCTGACAGAAGACTTTCCCAATACAGTTCATTTTATTTTTTGACTGTGGGTGCCAAGAGTGTTGATTATATAACCAAGCAAAGTGAAGTTATCAACAATCTCAGTCTCTTCTCTGTCCATCATGAAGGTGTCAACTGGCCAAATGGTGAGAATCTTTGTTGATGTTGAGCTATAATATATACTGAAGACTATGATCACTGTCCTCCTGCAGCAAACTCCTCATGTCCTCCATTTCAGCAAGCAAGGTTGTATTATGTACATAACTCAGGTTGTTGGTGAGTCTTCCTCCAATCCTGATGCCACTTTCCTCCTCATAAAGTCCAGCCTCCTGAATGATCTGTTCTGCATTGAACAGATTGAAAACGTTGACATCTTTCCTGATCCTAAACTGTGCAGTGTTTCCCTGCTCTGTTCTGACTACTGCTTCCTGGTCCAAGTATATGTTTCGTATGAGCACAATTAAGTAAGTGTTCCGGGATCCCCATTCTTTTCAAGGTTAGAGATAATTTTTTATGATCCACACAGTTAAATGCCTTTGTATAGTTAATAAAACACAGATAGACATTCATCTAGTACTCTCTGCTTTCAACTAAGATCCAGCTAACATTGTCTATGATATCCCTGGTTCCATGGCCTCTTCTTAACTCAGCCTGCACTTGTGTCAGTTCTCTGCTGATGTACTCTTCCAGTTGTTTCTGGATAATCTTCAACAGAATCTTGTTTGCATGTGATATTGTTTGAAAAGTTCCACACTCTGTTGGGTCACCTTGTTTTTGGAATGGGAATAAGTACAGGTCTCTTCCAGTCAGTTATTCAGGCAGTTGTCCAGATTTCTTGGCACAACCTGGTGAGCATGGCCAGGGTAATACCTGTTTGCTGAATGTGAGTGATAGGATAATATCAACATGCATACAAGGAAGATCTGTTAATACCACTGTCATTTAAATATATGCACCAGCAACCAGGGCCAAAGAGGAGGAAACAGATGACTTCCACCAACTTTTGCCATCAGAAATTGATTGAACATGCAATCAATACTTTGATAATAGTGAGTACAAATCAAAAGTTGGGGACAGGGAAGAAGGATCAGTAGTTGGAAAGCATATACTTGGTGACATATATGAGGTTGGAGATAGATTGATAGAAATCTGTACAGTCAATGACCTATTCATTGCAAACATCTTTTATAAGAAAAATAAATGGCAAGTATACACATGGACTTCACCTGATGGTCTACACGGGAGTCAGATTGACTACAGCTGTGGAAAAAATAGTTGGAGAAGTTCAACATCAGCTGTGAAAACCAGGTCAGGTGCTGATTGTGGAACAGACCACCAACTACTCATATATACTTCATATACTGAAGCTAAAGAAAATTAAATTGAATCCGTAAGAACCAAAGTTTGACCTTGAGTCTATCCCACAGAATTTAAAGACTCTCTCAGAACAGATTTGAAGCCTTGAACACTAATGCATGAAGAACAGATGAGCTGATGAGCTGTGGGAGAATTGAAAGAATATCATTCATGAAGAATGCAAAAAGGCCTTACAAAGATAAAGAAATCTTAACTATCAAAGAGATCGTATCAACCTGTTGATCAGCTGACTTAAGTTACCTGATTGATTTATTCCTTGACAGAATAACAAACATAATTTTACATCTATCAAAGCAATGTCCTGATTTTCCACATTTGAGAATAAACTTAAATTCCATTTACCAGTTAAGCTAATTTAGAACATGATAATAATGTGGAAGTAAGGCCTTGCACTTGTAAGCTTATGGATGGAGATGGGAATAGTAATGTATAAACTTAAAAATGATTAAATGTAACAAAAAATTTCTGAAGATGTTTTAATGCTTTTTTAGACTGCAGAAATTACAGATGTTGATGAAGAAGAGGTGAAGTTTCCAGGAACAAACTTTGATGAAGTAATTGATATCGTTCAGGTAACCAAGTGTAGGAATCGTAAGAAATTGTTTTTCCATTGTAATGTCTTTATATTATTTGTTTTGACTTTCAATATTATATTCAAGTTTTTGAGTTAAATTAAGTTTTAAAATCTAGAAGGTTGTTATTCTTTATAGTGCAGTATAATCATATCACCTGTCTACTTTCATTCAACTTGATTTAGAATTTTCTTTCTCACCTAGATGTTGTGTCTTCTGCTTCCTATTTTCGTCTTTTTTTCCTTTAACTTCCTTCCCTTCAATCTGTCTTTTCTTCATACTATTAATATTTACCTTTTCTGATTAAAGTCTAATGTAGTGGTCACTAATTGATCTGCCATGATAATTTTGAATTGAGTAAAAAATTTGTGAGGAACCCCAAACCAATGAAAAGATAGTAGTTAACAGTAGAAAGATTTACAGAAATGATAAAGATCCTCAAACTGTGGGGCCCTTTGAAAATAAAAGAAAACAAAAGAAAAAGAAATGATAAGATTAGTAAGCTAGAAGGCAGGAATATAGATGATGATGATGTTGTTGTTGTTATGTGTTGTCAAGTCACTTGGGACTCATAGCGACCCTATGTACAACAGCCCTAAACTCTGCTCTGTCCTGTGCCAATCACACTGTCTCTGACAAACCCATCATGATTACCCCAGTCACTGAATCAATTCACCTCATAGAGGGCCTTCCCCTCCTGCGCTGTCCCTCCACCTTACCAAGCATGATGTCCCTCTCCAAGGACCAGTCCATCCTTACAACATGTCCAAAGTATGTCAGACGAAGCCTCAGAATGCTTGTCTCCAAGGAGCAGCCCAGTTTAATTTCTAAGATGAAACCGTTTGTTTTCTTAGCAGTCCATGGTACCTTCAATACTCTTCTCCAGCACCACAGCTCAAAGGCATCAATTCTCCTTCTATCCTCCCTGGTCATTGTCCAACTCTCTGATGCATAACAAATGATTGGAAAGACCTGTATCAGACGCACCTTAGTCTCCAGAGAGACACCATTGCTCTTCAGTACTTTGGAGAGGTCCCTAACAGCAGACTTTCCCATGGCAATACATCTTTTAATTTCCTGGCTACTGGTGCCAAGAGTGTTGACTGTGGAGCCAAGCAAACTAAAGCTTTGTACAATCTCAATCTCTTCACCATCCATCCTGATGCTGCCAATTAGCCCAGTGGTGAGAATCTTTGTCTTCTTGATATTGAGTCTCAATCCATATTGGAGGCTGCAGTCCTTGACCCTCTGCAGCAAGCACTTCAGGTCCTTCTCAGTTTCAGCAAGCAGGGTTGTGTCATCTGCATAAAGCAGACTGTTGATAAATCTTCCACCAATCCTGATGCCACGATTCTCCTCATAGAACCCAGCCTCCCGGATAATCTGTTCTGCATAAAAGTTGAAAAGATGTGGAGGCAGGACACATCCCTGGCATATGCCTTTCCCAATTTTGAACCATGTAGTGTTTCCTTGCTCTGTTCTGACGACTGCCTCTTGGCCCAAGTATAGGTTTCTCATTACCATGATCAAGTGTTCTGAGATTCCTAGTCTTCTCAAAGTCAGCCACAGTTTGTTATGATCCACATAGTCAAACGCCTTTGCATAATTAATGAAACACATATAGACATTCCTCTAGTATTCCCTGCTTTCAGCTAAGATCCATCTAACTTTAGCTACAATATCCCTAGTACCATGACCCCTTCTAAACCCAGCCTGGACTTCCAGCAATTCTTTGCTGATGTGCTGTTCCAGTCGTTTTTTAATAATCTTCAGTAGAATCTTGCTTGCATGTGAATCAATGATATTGTTCTATAGTTTGCACACTCTGTTGGGTCACCTTTCTTTGGAATGGGAAGAAATATATATCTCTTCCAGTTGGCCAAGTGGTTGTTCTCCAGATTTCTTGGCACAACTTGGTGAGCAAGTCTAGGGCAGCATCTGTTATCTGAAATATGCCAATTGGTATACCGTCTAGTCTTGGGGCCTTATTTTTTGCCATTTCCTTCAAAGCAGCTTGAACTTCATTCTTCATCACCATAGGCTCTTGCTTATATGTTGTTTCATGAAATTCTTCTGTGTCTGCCAATTCCTTTTGATACAGTGACTCAGTATATTCTTTCCATCTTCTTTTAATACTTTCTGGATCATTTAATATTCTGTGTAAAACATCCTAGATTATAGCAACTCGACGTTTGAATTTGTTCTTCAGTTCCTTGAGCTTAAGAAATTTTGAGCAAGTTTGACCCTTTTGATTTTCCGACTCCAGCTCCTTGCACATTTCATTGTAATATTTTACTTTGTCATCCCGTGCTGCCCTTTGACATCTTCTGTTCATCTCTTTAGTATCTTGAATTCTTCCTTTTGCTTTGGCTTCTCTGCCAAAGTGCAGTATTCTTTGCCGGTGCAATATTCAGAGTTTCTTCTGACATCCTTTTTGGTCTTTTCTTCCTTCTCTGTCTTTGTAATGACCGTTTGCACTCTTCCTGGATGATCCTCCCACAACTCATCAGGTCTTCGCTCATTAGTGTTCAAGGCCTCAAACCTGTTCCTGAGAGGGTCCTGAAATTCAGGTGGGATAGACTCAAAGTCATATTTTGATTCCTGTGGATTCGGTTTAATTTTCCTCAACTTCAGCTTGAATATAGATGAGGCAGTAAAAAAAAATAATGGGGAAAAAAGCTCATATGACAGACTTTAGAGAGGACATCTGTTCACAGATTTTGGAGTCAAGACCAAATTAGTTAATCATAAAATGAAACTTTATTTTAGAATTTGAAAAGATATGCAATATATCACATGAAGTAATTAATTTCAATCCAGGTAACTAAGTTTAGAAACCATAACTTGTTTTTCCCTTAGCATTTTTCCATGTGATTGAATTATGTTTTGACTTTCAATATTAAAGTGTTCTCAGAAACTTTTTGTCCAAGATATGAATGAAATAAAAGTTATCTAAATAACGTGATTGGTATTCAAAGTGTTCCTTTTTCTGTCTCAGCCCATTTATTAACTCTATGACCTCATTTTAACATGAGATAATACTACTTAGGGAGCTTTTGTGGCCAACCAGCAAGAAAAATGCACTGCAATCCCAAAGTCATGCAATTCAAAGCCACCAGCTACTCCATGGGAGAAGGATGAACAGTTTTCTCCCGTGCGATTAACTGCCTCTGAAAACCCACTGGATGGTCATCTATGGCTCAGTTCTGACTATGATACACCACCACAACAAAACTATAACTTAGTCAAAATGTTTCAAAGTCATAACTTTTTATGAGGTATCTATATAGATGTATTTAAAGATAAAACTTGTAATATCTCTGATTTACTTGAATACATTATTGTTGTGTACAGTTGAGTTGGACCTGACTCATAGCAGACCCTCTGGCAGATTTTCAGAGGCAATTAATTGCAGCCTGTTGGATTGGAGCTGCATTACTTTGGGTTGTCAGTACGGTTCCTTACCTCTAAGTTACCAGTTGTTAAGTGCCATCGAGTTGACTATAACTGCTAGTGACCCTCTGAACAGCTGTCCTGAAACCTGCCCTATCCTGTGCCATCCTCACCATCTCTGAGACACTAGAGCCCGTTGCTAAAGTTACAGTGTCAGTCCATCTCATTGGGCGCCTTATCTCCTTTGCTGACCATCTATCTTCTCAAGTGTGATGTACCTCTGTGAGGAATAGCCATGCCTAGCTACCTGTACAAAGAATGGAAGACAAAGCTTTGTCATTCTTTTCCTCCAAGGAGCACCCTTGTTGCACCTTTTCCAGGACATGTGTTTGTTCTCTTGGCAGTCCATGGGATATTCAGAACTCTTATCTAGAACCACAACTCAAAAGCATCAGTTCTTGTCCAGCTCTCAGGTGCATAACAAGTGATAAGACCATGGCCTGAATCAGGCATACCTTAGTCTTCTAACTGTTCTTCAGTGTTTTGGAGAGGTCCCTGACAGTGGATTTGCCCAATGCAGTATGTCTCCTTATTTCCCAACTACTGTTACCAAGGGTGTTGATTGTTGATCCAAGCAAAATGAAATCATTAAAGCTTCAATATTTTCTCCATCTATCATGATGTTGACTGTTTGGCCTGTGGTGAGGAAATATGTCTTCTTGGTGTTGAGATACAATCCACAGAAAATGTTGTAGTCTTTGATCTTCTGCAGCTGTTGTTTTATATCCTCCTCGCTTTTAGCAAGCAGAGTTGTGTCATCAGTGTAACACAAGGTGTTGATGAGTCTTCTTCCAATTCTGTTGCCATACTCCTCTTCATAGAGTCCAGCATCACAAACTATTTTGCTTAGAGTCTAGATTGAATTGGTATGGAGAAAGGATACAACCCTGATTCACACGCCCCCTGATGCAATGTTCTCCTGGTCTGTTTGCACAAAATCTTCTTGGTCTAGGTATAAATTCTGTATGAGCACAATTAAGTGTTTTGGGATTGCCATTCTTCACAGTGTGAGCCATAATTTGTTATGATCCACATAGTTTAATGCCTCAGTAAAACACAAATACACATTCTTCGGATTGCCATTGTTGTTAGGTGCCATTGAGTTGAGTATGACCTACAGTGACACTATGAACAAGAAATCTGAACCCTGTCCTATACTGTGCCATCTTCACACTTCTTGACACTTTAGAGCCAACTGTTCCAGTCACTGTGTCAATCCATTTGGTAGAGTGTCTTCCTCTCTTTGACTCTTTCATCGATTCTGCTTTTCCAAACATCTTGCCCCTCTCTAAGCATCATATCTGTCTCTAAGAAATAGCCCTCCTAGCAAATGCCTGAAGTATGTGAGGTGAAGCATCATCATCTTTGCCTCCAAAGAGCCCTCTGGGCATACTCTCTCTAAGACATACTTGTTATGTTCTTTTAGCAGTCCGTTGAGTGCTCAGCACTCTTCTATCACCACAGTTCAGAGACATCAGTTCTTCTGTCGTCATTATTCATTGTCTAGGTCTCTGATGCATGGCAAATGGAAAGACCATGGCCTGAATTAGATGCACCTTAGTCCTCAAACTGACATCATTAACCCTCAGTAATCTGGAGATGTCTCTAACTGCAGATTTTCCCAGTGCAATATGTCTCCTTATTTCCTGACTGCTGGTAGGTAACGAGGATGTTAATTGTGGATCAACAATAATATCTCTAGTGCCATGGCCGCTTCTAAATCCAGCTTGTACTTCTAATTGTTCCTTGTCAACGTATTGTTCTAGCTGCTTTTGAAATGAGCTTCAATAATAGTTTCCTTGCATTAGCTTTTTAAAAATATTTTGCCTGCATTAGATATGGATGATATTGTTGGATAAATTCTACATTCTATTGGATCTTTCTTGGGAATGGGGACAAATATGGATCTCTTCCAGTCAATCCTTCAAAGTTCCTAGCATAAACTGGTGAGCACAGTCAGGCCTGCATCTGTTAGGTCAAAAGTCAATTGGTATTCCACTGACTGTTGGGACCTTATTTTTTGCCGATACCTTCATTGCTGCCTGAACTTCATCATTCATCATCATTGGTTCTTTTTTATGTGGTACTTTCTGAAATTTTTCTGTTTTAACTAATTTTGTTTTGGTACAGTGATTTTGTGTATTCCTTCAATATCTTTTGATGCTTCCCGGATCATTTAAGATTGTGCCCATAGCATCTTTCAGTATTGCAACTTGAGGCTTGTTAATTCAGTTCCTTCAGCTTGAGAAATTCTGAGTGAGTTCTTCCCTTTTTTATTTTCTGAGCCCAGCTGTTTGCACATTTTGTTGTAATAGTTTGTTTTATTCTCTCGAGCTGTCCTTTGAAATCTTCTGTTCAGCTCTTTTACTTTGACATCTCTTTTGTTTTGGCTTCTTTGTGCTCTAATAAAATTTTCATGTCTCTTCTGACATCTTTTTTGGTTTTTTTTCTTCCTCCTCCTTTGTAATAATCTTTCGTTGTCCTCATGCCACCAGAGCTTCATTCAAAATGATATGTTGTTGTTTTTCAGAGGCAGTTAATCACAGGGGAAGATTGGGCATCTTATTGCAGAGCAGCTGGTGGATTTGAACCACGTACCTTTCTGTTGACAGTGCAGTTCTTTACCACTAAAGCCACCAGAGCTCCCTTCAAAATAATACAGCAAGAGGAAATTGAGCTCTGGTGGCTTAGTTCATGTGGCATGTAGTTCAAACTACTAGGGCTTTGTGGAAGATGAGCAATCTTCCCATATGATTCACTGCCTCTGAAAACCCACTGGGGAGCCACCTATGAGTTGGTTATGACTCCTCAGTACGTAACAACCTAGATAAAATGAAGTTGTCCATGAGTTGCTGACTATTGAAGCTGAGCAGCCAGTAAATGAGATTTCATGTTAGATAGATAGCAGCTACGTAATAGTACCTTAGTGTTACTTTACCTGCTTTTAAATATGTATGATAATTTCTATAATAAAAGGTTGAAAATTCCCAAATATCTGTGATCATGATGTTATTGTTTTGTGCCATTGAGATGGAACCAACTGATTCTGACCCTACAGACAGTTTTCAGAGGCTGTAAATTGCATGGGAGGAAATTGTCCATCTTTCTCTCCCAGAGCAGCTGGTGAACGCAATCTGCTTGCCTTTGGTTTGGCAGTGCTGCTCCTTACCACTAAACCAACAGATAATATATAAAAGGGCATAAATGAGTATTTAAATGCAAAGTAGAGGATCTACAGGAGCAAGCAGTAATGTTCAGAAGCATCAGTCTCTTTATAGTAAGAAATGTTCAAAATATCCTCTGAAGGAAAATGTTAATGGCACTTTATAAATTTAAAAAGAAAATAAAATGTTAAGCATTTTCTGAAGGCATTGTTAACATTTTACATGGAGATAATGCTTTTAGTTTGTCTAAAAAAAATTTTTGTTTTTTAACTGTCCAATTTAAATGAAATGCAACATTCCATTTTAATGAGGCAACAGAATTGTGCAACTAAAGATTTTTTCAGTGTGACTTATCTGACTGATATATATAGATGTTTTTATTATTAATACTAAGTTTGCTTCTTCTAGGAAGAAGAACAATATGATGAAATTCCAGAATACTCTGAACCAATTCTGGAGTTCAGCAAAAATATTAAAGTTGATTCAACAAAATATAATGGTCCTCCGTTTCCACCGGTTGCTTCTGATTTTCAACCAACTGCTGGTACTCTGGAAAAAGTAATTGAGAGAAAAGAAACATTGGAAAATAGCTTAATTCAGTGGTGAGTCTTTGACATTGCTGGTGTGAACAGAATTGAAGCAACAAATAAAATAGTATTAAACTGAAGGCATTATATGTCAATTGACAGTCTCCCTTGTTTTTGTTTATTAAACTTTGAGGGTTTAACTAATTGTTGGAAGTATTACTTCTCTCTTTGATTATTTGTACTTATGCTGTTGCTATAGCAAAAGAGGCTAGTGTTAAGCATCTAAGGCAGTAACACTTGCTGTTATTTTAGAGATTAATGTCTTAAAATTTATCCTAAGGGGAAAAAAATTATGGTCCTACTAAAATGCCTTTGAACTGTGGTGTTGATGAAGAGTATATATATATATAAGTATATATCTTACTATGGACTGCCGAAAGAACCAACAGATCTGTCTTAGAGGAAGTGCAGCTATGGTTGTGCTCTTTGGAGGCAGGAATAGTGAAACTTTAGCTCATGTACTTTGGACATGTTGTCAGGAGGCACCAGTGCTTTGGAAAAGATGTTACACTTGGAAAAGTGGAGGATCAGTGAAAGAGAAGAAGACCCTTAAGGAGATCAAATGATGTAGTGACTGCAACAAAAGGCGTGAATATGGTGTATATTGTGGAATGGTTCTGAATAGGGCAAGGTTTTGATCTGTTGTTTATAGAGTCTCTATGATCCATAGTCAATTCCACTGCACCTAACAACAGCTAGGCCTTGCACTATCAAACAGTGCCTTGTCCTAATTAATTTAGTGCTGCTATCACGGAGATAACCACAAGTGATTGACTTCAACAAATTTTTTTTTTTTTACTGGTTAGGAGGCTGGCAGTCCAAATCAGGGTGCTAGCTTGAGAAGAACCTCTCTCTGTTAATTTTGGAGGAAAGTCAATGTTTCCTTGAGCATCTATAAGCCATTGCAGATCTCTTTGTGTCTTGACTTTCCTATAAGGCAGGTACCTGAGTTCAGAAGGATGCACTCCATCCCTGGATGTTTTCTTGGTGGTGTTGAAGTCCCTTCTTCCATTTTATTTTTCTTTTTTTAATTGATCTCTTGTGAGAGAAAAGCTGCTACAAGCCATACCCTAAGAAAACTTCTATTCTGTGAACTAGGGCTGTGATGGGATTAAGTGGTTTTTATGCTATCTTTAAGCCTCTCAGAACTATTTAGTTTAGCAGATTGTGAGAGAACATGACATATTTTGTACATTTTATTCCTATTGTTACTAAGTGCTATGAAGTCAACTATGAGTTATCGTGACCTGGTGAAAAGCAGATCATCTTCCCCTGTCCTGTGTTCACGATTTTTGCCCTGATTAACCTGTTGTAGTCACTGTGCCAGTCTGTCTCCTTGAGAGTGACAACTTCCTTTTTCACCTTCAGTTTACTTTTCCAAGCATGAAGTCATTATCCATGGGCTAACAAAATGCTCATATTATATAAGATGGACTTCCGCCATCCTTGGCTTCTTCTAAGACAAATGTGTTCTTTTGAACACATTTTATTATATTTATTTATTTATTATTTACATATTATATATGGTATAACATGGTATATTTAATACTCTTTACCAGCACTCTATTTTGAAGACATAATATTTTGGTCTTCTTTATTATTTAACTTTTCACATTTATGTGAAGCAATTGAAAATATAGCTTGATAACTCAGTCCAACAAGGACCAATACTGTATAAAACCATTATTATAGAATGAGTATGAGGATCCAAGGCAGGGGTTTGGGGTGGAAATAGAGGGGTGAAGATGAGAGGGTAGGGTGTTAATAGGGTTACACAATCCAATGGGTGGGAGGGGTAAAGAAAATGGGAAGGATCTTTTGTGAAAAACAATGTCTTCAAACTTTGTAAATGAATCAGAGTAATAAAAGAAAATATCATGGCTTGAATTAGCCGTATCATCATCTTTACACCGACATCTTTGCTTTCTAGCTCTCTATATTTTAGGAGCTACAATTCAGTTCATGAATTCATAACGCTTGCTATGTAGAACTTATTAAAAACAAGGCTTTTTATGTTTTTTAGTTTTATTGTATTTATTAATTTATGGATCCTTTGGTCAAAATGGTGTAGCTTTCAGATCCATTGTTTGTAAGGTCACTATGAGTTGTAGTTGATGCAACAGCATTTAACAACAGCTACAACCATTATTATCCCTAGGGAGTTTTGGTGGATTAGTCTGTAGGACATTGTGCTGCTAACCCAAAGTCTGAGCATCTCTGGTGGTTTGAGTCCATCAGTGGCTCCTGGGGAGTTTACGGCCTCAGAAACCACAGGAGAGTTAGTGATGAGTTGGTTCTGACTTGACAGCAGTGTGTGTGTGTAGTATGTATGTTGTGGTAAACTGTTGAGTCTGAATTAACTCATAACTGACCCTCTAGTGGGTTTTCAGGGGCAATTAATTACACAGGAGATTGCTCATTTTTCTCCTGTGGTGCACCTGGTGGATTTGAACCATGTGACTTTGAGTTGGCAGTCCGACTTCTTACCACTTAAGCCACCATAGCTTCCGATATGAGTGAATAGGTATACATAAAATTATTATTATCCCGATGAGATTATAATAGATATACATATGAGAAATTTGAAAAGAAAGTTACAGAATAAAACTAAATAATGGATATTAGTGTAGTTACCAAAATTTAGTTTAACAAAACTGTATGGAAACAAAACAGGCTACTGGCAGTGTAACTCCATTTAAGGTCCCTACATGACACAATTTGTGCAAAAAGGCACACTTAAATAGAAATATATGTGTGTAGATGAATGTTTGGAAAACATACACACTAAATTTTTAACCGTGCTTATTCCTAAATTTGGGATTAAGAGATTTATTTTTAAAAAAGTATTTTTAATTGCAGTCCAAGGTTAAGCATCTGTTTATCATAAAGTCAGCCCTTCCATAAGAGAAAAGCATAAAGATTAAAGCCTTGAAAACCTTTGGAGCGGTCTGTGCTGTTCTTTAGGGTTGTTGTGAGCTGAAGTCAGCTTGATAGCACTGAGTTTGCTTTGGTTCTAATGAAATGTTAGAAGAAATATCTTACTGCATTGCAAGTGAATCCATGATTTCTGAAAATGATCTTGAAAATAAATGTTTATTCCCTTATTAAGATAGAAGACTCTGATATTACAGCCTATATGCATATTTTCTTGAAAACAAGGCAACCAGACTTTTTTTTCCTGGGTCTGGTCTTATGTAGTTTTAGATGTATGCTCATAGAATGGAAATCAGATGTTTTCTTTACATGTTTGTGTACAGTTTGGTCTGTTTCCTATCTAAAATACCTATACCCATGCTTGGCTTTCTGTTTTTATCTTTTAAATTTCCTTTTTATTATTCTGTGTATTTTATAACAGACATAGAGTGAGCATTTTTATTTTAAAAAAATTACACTTCTCCTTCCATTGATAATAGGTCTGAGATATTTATGAACTTAAATTATCTTAAGATTTGATAGTACTATTTAGCTACAGGGTAGACCAAAAATGAATATATACAAAATAATACTAGGAACACATATCTTACCTGTTGGCATACTTAAAATCATAAAAAGATAAACCTCTATTTTAAAATACTTTGGAAGTGAAACCAGTTCATCAAATTTTGCCAAGATTAAGAACTATTTTATACAAAAGCAACATTAAAGCTGAAATTAGATACTGGTTTCTACTTATCTGAAATTTGTTGAAGTGATGTCTTTTAAAAAAATCACATGAGTTCTACAAAACAATATTTTTGAGGATAGAACTTTTACAGTTCATATGTGTCAAGTTTATGATAAAACAGAGTACTATAAAAACAATACACTAATTAATATATTTTATACCATTTTCTTTTTTAAAAAACCATTTTCTTTTTTTTGTTTTTGTTTTTTTTAAATTTCAATCTTTTTTTAATTTTAATTTTTATTAAATTTTATTCATTTTAATGAACATTTACAGAGATTTTGGGTTTTCATTCATTCATTGTTGCACTGTTTTCTCCACCCTCATCCCCAGTTCGTTCTTCTTTCCCCCCCAGTGTCTGTTTTAATTGTCCAATTGCCACAGTGCTTGTCAAAGCCAGTTCTGATTAATCTCCTTTGTCAGTGTGTCCCTTGTCATTCCCTATCACTCCTCCCTGAGAGAGACTTCACCCTGATTCATAAGGAAAAGGGGATGGCGTATTCTCTTAGCTAATTCCTGCTGAAAAGGGACGCTGTGGGTTTCTGGGTGAATGTCTTCTCTCACTACTCCAAAGGGCCCCCTTGGCAGTAGGAAGCACATAGACTATTATGGAGATTGATTTTGGAATTTAGATGCACTGTTATCAGTTGTGCTTAGCCGTACATCTTCATATCCTTGAAGCTGTATCATGGAAGTGTTGCAGCCTAGAAGATACAAATTTAACTAACAAGTTAAAAGTGCATGAGTCAAAAATTGAAAACAATAATATTCTGAGTAGAGGCACAAATAGTGGCACAAATCAAATTACAAAGGTAAGGTGGTTCCATTGCCATCCTTACTCTAACTTAATTATTATTTTTTTTTAATTTAAATTTGTTCTTAATTTCAGTGAAAATTTACAGAGGCTTTGGATTTCCATTCATTCATTGTTGTAGATTTGTCCCCTCCCAAGGCTCCCCCCCCACCAGACATTACCCTCGTGGAAAAGTAAAAGAAAAGATTCTTTCATTATTTCACAAACCCCAGGTCCACTCCACCATGTAGCCATCGCTCTAGACTCCTGTCATGACAGAAATACCTAATCACATATCTCTTTTAAACAGTTTTTTCCCTTCTCTGTTTCAGAGCAGCATACATTATTGAACCCATCTTACTCAGTCTCTCCCCAACCCCAAGGACAGTCCCATTCTACAACAGTGGCACCTTGCAATATTTGTCCCTTTGTGACTGGGACATTTCACTCAGCATAATGTTCTCCAGAGTCAACCATTTTGAGTAATATTGCATGAGTTCCTTGTTTTTTAATGCAGCATAGTATTCCATTGTGCGAATATACCACAGCTTCTCTAGCCATTCGTTTGTTGATGGGCACTTAGGTTGTTTCCAACTCCTTGCTATTGTGAACAAAGCTGCAATAAACATGGAAGGTACCAATTCAAATAATATTTTGCATCTTTATTTAGTGCACTAAAATTGTTTTATGTGGAAGAATTGGAGGACATATCATAATATAATACCTTAGAAACATTCTTTGACATGTGTATCTACATTAATGGATAATTCACAATCCATTTAAAGAAATTTTCTAGTAATAAATTTGCCTAACTATCTCAAAAAACAAATGTGTACTGTTAATCTGTTTTTGGAAGCAAAGATATTCAGTATTACTTTTGCCTTTGGAAGAAAGTTACTTTAAAAAATATGTGCATTAACTAGTTTTTTAAAAAAATCTGTCTGGAGAATTATACTCTTCTAAAAACTATTGTTGAGTTGGTTTGACTCGTAGCCACTCTTCAAATTAAGTTTCCAGCTCCATAAAACTTTACAGGAGGAGACTGTCCATCTTTTATCTTTTTTCCTTAGAGCTCCTGGTGGGCCTTTCAGTTAGCAGTCCCATAAGTTAGTTACTACACTATCAAAGCTCAAGAATGACACATACGGGATAAAATTGACAATAACAAATAATAACTTGGTAGAAACCTTAGGGAGTAGTCAATTTATATTGATGAGGGAGGTTTGTGAAAATGGTTGCACAACTGGAAGAATGTTATTAATGTTAGTAAATTGTACATGTGGAATTGTGAATTAGAGTGTGTGTTGTGTATATTCTCAGCAACAACAAAGTCAGTAAACTTTGAGGGCGGGGTTGACCACATGCAAATTACCTGTCATACGTACTAGTAACATTTGACCCATGTTCATTTTAAAAAGTCCAAGCAATAAAAGGAAGCACAAAGAATGCAAAAATGATCTAGAATGTCATTAGAAGTAATCATCATCTTTAACAAGAGTATATTTTTTAAGAGATCAAGATACTCAAATTTGACTTTATTCAAGCTTCATTTAAAATTTTTTTCCTATTAATACACTAAAAAAATTATATATTAGCATAGAAAACCAATATAAATACATTGATTACTTAGGAATCTTAAGTCATTTTATATATACACACACAACTTTTTCTTTATGATCCCTCCAAAATAATTGGTGAGTTCACTCATACAGCTAGTTAAGTAAAAGAGATCCATTGTAGCACAGTGACACAAATCATTCTCAATTTATGAAGAATGAATGAGTTTTAAAAATATAATTGTTAATACATAGTGTTTGATTATAGTGTCAGGCGTTCTAAATTATTTCTTGAGGGGGTGCATATTCAGACTTTATTTTTTTTATACTAGTTTGTTTACAAAATTCTAATACACTGTTTTTGAGAACAGATTCTTTCATTTTCCCTCACCCTCCTCATCAAATTATACAATTCCATGATTAATATCCCCCTCTCCCTGTACATCTTCATCCCTCTGCAACATTTTAGATCAGTGGATCTCAAAGTATGGTTTCTGAACCAGAAGTGTGAACACACATACAGTTTATTTGAAATGAAAATTCAAGGTACCACCGCAGATCTGCAGATCAGGGATTTAGGGACAGGGCCTACCAGGCTTCTTATCCTCCAGGCAATTCTGATGGAAGTAGTGAGAAACACTGAGAATTTAATTTTTTTTAAATTTAATTTTATTAATTTTAATTAACATTTACAGAGATTTTGAATTTCCATTCATTCATTGTTGCACTTTTCTCCCTGCCCAGCGCACCTCTCCCTCCCCCTCCCCCCAGTTCACTCCTCTCTTTGAAAAGTAAAAGAAAAAATTCCTTCTTTGGTATACAATCCCCCTGCACCCCTCCCACCACCCTGAGTACATTCCACTATGCAACCTTAATTCTGGACTCTTGTGATAACCATAATACCTTATCATATATTGCTTTTAAATTATTCTCTCCCTCAGTTTTTCAATGCAGCATACATAATTTATCCAGTTTTTCTCAATCTTACCTCAACCCTGATGTCAGTCCCATTCTACAACAGGGGCACCATGCAGTGTTTGTCCTTTTGTGACTGAGCTATTTCACTCCGCATAATGTCCTCCAGGGTCCCCCATTTTGAATAATGTTGCATGAGTTCCTTGTTTTTCAATGCAGTAGTATTCCATTGTGTGAATATACCACAGCTTCTCTATCCATTCGTTTGTTGATGGGCACCTGGGTTGTTTCCAACTCCCTGCTATTGTGAACAAAGCCGAGATAAACATGGGTGTGCAAATATTTGCTTAAGATGTTGGTTATGGTCTCTTTAGGGTATATTCCCAGTATTGGAATTGCTGGGTCAAATAGTATCTCTATTTGCAACTTTTTGAGAAAGTACCACACCACTTTGCACAGTGGTTACACTATTTTACACTCCCACCAACAGTGAATAAGGGTTCCAGTTTCTCCACAACCTCACCATCATTTGTTGCTTGCTGTTTGTTAAATGTTGCTATTCTGACTGGGGTGAGATGTTATCTCATAGTTGTTTGGATTTGCATCTCTCTTAGAGCTAGGGATTTTGAACAATTTCTTCATGTGTTTGTTGGCCATCTGAATGTCTTCTTTGGTGAAGTGTCTGTTCATATCCTGTGCCCATTTTTCAATTGGATTATTTACCTTTATCTTGTTGTGGTGCTCAAGTATCTTATAAATTCTAGATGTAAATCCCTTATCTGACATGTCATTCTCAATTACTTTTTCCCAGTCTGTGGCTTTTCTTTTTACCCTGTTGGAGAAGTTTTTGGATGTGCATAGGGATTTGATTCTTAGAAGGTCCCATTCATCTATTTTATCTTCTCCTGATTGTAGATCTTTCAGGATACTTGGAAGACTGTTTATGTTGTGGATTAGGACTACTAGAGTTCTTCCAAGCTTTTCTTTAATGAAGTTTATAGTCCTTGGTTTTAGTCCTAGATCCATGATCTACCTTGAATTGGGTTTTGTATATGGAGTGAGATGTGGATCTTGCTTGAGTCTTCTGCAGATATTTTTCCAATTTTGCCAACACCATTTGTTAAAAATACTCCATTGAATTATTAGAGAACCCTTACCAGTAGGTACTATTATCATCCCCATTTTTAATGTAAAGAAGCGGAGATACCAAGAGCCAGGTTACTTCCCAGAAACATCCAAGTATCGTCAGGTAGTACTAAGGATGACAGACTTATCCTAAAACACAAGCTCTTAAGTGCTAGACAGCCTCCCCCTTGATGATGGACACCTAAGTAATGGTGATAAATGATTGGATGGAGAATGAGCTGTATTCTGTGTGCTTGAAGTGACCTTCCAACCTTCCTAAATACTAAGGGCCTTCGTAAAGCTCAAAACCATGCCCAAAGATTTTCTACATGCCTCTTGTTGGCTGTAACCCTTTCTTTTCCAAGCTTTCATTTGTGCAAATCAGTAACTCTCTTTTGGCATGCATCACTCACAAGTATGGTGGTTATTTATATACATATGAAACTTTGAAAATACTCAGTTCCCTAGACAGAGGAATGGGATGAGAATTGGAGATGGAACAAGCAATGTCTTTTGAGTGGAGACATGGCCAACAGAAAGACAAGATTACTACCTCTACCCATAAATAACCATATATATGGTAGCCATTGGCCCAAACTTTATTTCACTTGTAGTAAGACCCATCTGAAAGGCTTTGTTTACATTCAACTTCTCCCACAAAAAGATTCTGTTCATACTATTAATCTTGCTGGTGGATACATGATATTTTTCTTTTCTGATTATACTTTGAGAGTGATTGCTCTCGTGTAAATATTTGTGGGTAAAGATTATTTTTAAGAATAATATGTCCACTCTTTATACTTTTCTGTCAAATTTAGGAATTATGTAACTGTTGTCCCTCAGGGTAGAACAAGAAATAATGTCAAGAATTATCTCTGGGCACTTCCCAGTTCAACAACAAGTCACCCCAAATGCCAGTGTGTCAGTCAGTGAGGAAAGTGAACCACTGACCCCTCATGCAGGTAAGTTAATGGAACTTCTTAACTTTTCCTGTTATTAAAAGACAAAAAACTTCATCAATTTGTATATTTTACATGGAAAGTAAGTTCTAGGGGAGCCAAAGAAAAGCTCTCACCTCCAGTTACATCTTTCTGGCTCCTGTCTGTGGTGGGAGTTCTCTCTTTACCTCTGTTTCTTTCCCTTTGTTCTCCATTCTTCCTACTCCTAAACCAGTTTTTCACATAAGACTTGAGATATGTATCTGGGTTATAATAATCACTAATCATCAAGTTTTACAATAATCACTAATCATCAAGTTATATTTTGATTGGCTTACACAGCTACCTAACTACTGTGATTAGCTCAGGATTAAGAATTCTTCTTTAGTTTAATTGACACCAAACAGGGGTAAAAATATTCACTGGTAAATGAATGAGCCCCCGTTTTGGTGTGTTTTTTTTTGGGGGGGAAAGTGACCTCTGCTCCTGCTCTTCTTCCTCTCTCTTTTTTTTTAAAGGGTAATTGCAGTACAATTTGACAACTTTATTTATAAAGATTGATCAGTTTTAATAAATGGATGTAGTGATATATAGTACAATTATGATATAGAAAAAAATTTCGTTATCCCAAAAAATTCCCACATCTCACTTTGCAGTCAGCCCTTACCTTCTTTCTGTCACTTTTCTGTAAGTTTCAGTAGATGGTATCATACAGCACACAGGCTTTTGTGTATAATTTCTTGTCTTTAGCATAATATAGTTTTAACATTTACTCATATTACTTATTGCTCATAATATCGTGCTATATGGGTGTAGCATAATTTTCCATTTACTAGTTAAAGGATATTTGTATTTTTTCTTAGGTTTTGACTGTCATGAATTAAAGCTGCTGAAAACATTTCTAAACAAATATTTATGTAGATACATCTTACAGTATCTTTTGGTCATATGATAAATATAAATGTATAAGAATTTGCCAAATTAATTCACAAAGTGTATGTGTTTGCCTTTGTTCTTGCCTGTATCTGGATAGGACTAACTCAATTTATCACACAGATGTTCTAATTTTGCTCATGAATATAAAAATTACAAAGGAGCTATGCTGACATATGTTACTGAATGTAAATTTGGAATTGAGGATTGCTGTGGTAACTCCACATTACTAGTCCATTACTAGTACTTCTGTCCTAATAAATTAAATAGAGACACCTATACTGTTTCTATTTATTATTTTGTGTGTGTGTGTACTGTCAAATCGGATCTGACTGGTCCAGGAAGAGATTGCCCTTCCTTCTCCAACAGAGCATCTGAGGGATTCGATCTGCGTGCCTCTGGGATTGCAGTGCGAGACACCTATACTTTTTAATGGATACTGCATATTGCTGCTGTAGAGATATCAATTAAGGAGGATTATTTGAAGAGGTCACATAGCTGCAAGCTTGATTAGATCATTTCTATATATTTTCCACAAAAAGTTTTAGGAGTATGCCATTATAAATCTAGTGAAATCTCTTAAGGAAGTTGTATTTTTATGTACAGTCATAGAATTGAAAGATATAATCCATTTGGGAAAATTAATAGACTTATGTTGTTGTTACGTGCCATCAAGTCAGAACCCACCCAAGACTGGACCCTCCAGCGGTTTTCAGAGGCGGTAAATTACACAGGAGATTGTCCATCCTTCTCCCGTGGAGCAGCTGGTGGATTCAAACTGTGTGCCTTTGGGATTGCAGCACGGTTTCTTACCACTACTAGGCCACCATAACTCCCTAATATGCTTGCAGAACATTTGACAGTATAAACTACCATAGGAGCTTGAGGAGAGTTAGCTTGTAATGTTAATACCTAATGTATCTGAAATTAGTAGGAAGAAAGGTTTACTTTTATATTTAAGAAATGGTTATCATTCCCTAAAATTCCTCACACCAGTCTTTGTGTTTTGATGGAGAACTATCATGGTTTCCCAGCTGTCCTATTTTTGGAAATGTGGATAGTGCATTTAATGTGCTACAAATCCTTTTATGCCACTCTTTGTGGAAAGAAGCCTTAGAAGTAAACATTTTCATTTGTAAGTGCTTTTGGTTTGTTTAGAGAAGGTGTTCACCAAGTAACTTAGTCATTTTAGCCTCATAAGCAGATGTGTTTGTACTTTTGATTTTGATTCTCTCTCAACCCTCAAATACTGGCATCTCTCTAAAATTATAAGAGTTAATATGTAGATTTCAAGAATGCTTTTGAACGTTTATATTGAGGTTCTTTTTCAGTGGAAGGAGCGAGCAGTCGTGCCCTCCAGCTCTTTGTTGATGCAGGGGTTCCATTGAACTCAGACACGATAGCCCATTTAGTGACTGAAGCTCTTGCAGAGACCATAGCCGTCATGCTGGGTGACCGAGATGACAAGAAGCCAGGTCTCACTGTGCCACCTGTTCCTGAGGTCATTGCAGCAAATGAAATATACTTGCCGGTAAGAGTCAGCCTCATATCAGAATTAAGTGTTCTGGGAGATTTTTTTTGGGTACATTTGTTAATGAGCAATAAATTGGATACATTTTCAACTAAGATAATAGTTTATGACTTACAGTTGCTTGTTAGAGTCATTAAAATAATATTGACCTCCAGCACTTTATTTTGAAAACTTCCCAACATATAAACTCTTTGCCATCAAGTCAGAACTGTCTCCTCACTGACCCACCATTGGGTTTCTGAGGCTGTAGATTACATAGGAGGAGAGTGCCCATCTTTTTTGAGGAGCTGCTGGTGGATTACGACCAACAGGGAGGTGTGGTCTTCGGGTTAGCAGTGCAGCTCTGTACAGGCTACGCCACCTGCCTTCTTTTTTCAACAGGTAGAACTGTATTGTACATGGACACATCTGTGTGCTATTTACTGATATTCACCAACTGGGAGCATTTTGCCACATTTTCTTTATCTCACTTATAAGGAGTTGTGCTGGGAGCACAAAGGTAGGCAGTTTAAATCCACCATCTGCTCTGAGGGGAAAGATGGACAGTCTTCTGTATGATTAACTGCCTCTGAAAACCCATTGGAGGATCAACTCTGGCTCAGTTCTAACTAACGAGACACAACAATGACAACATTATAAGGTGATCTGGTAGTGTAGTGACTAAAGCAGTTTGTTGCTAATGGAAAGTTGGCATTTGATCGCACCACCTACTGCATAGGAAAAAGATGGAGCAATCTGAGTACAGTCTGGAAAAAAACAGTAATGGATTTTATTAACGGCTAGATAGGGAGCTCTTGCAGTGTAGTGGTGAGAAGCTGTGCTGCCAACCCAAAGGAACGCAGTTTGAATCCACCAGTAAAAGACGGGGAGTCTCGTCACGTGTGATTTTTATAACCTTTTGAAAACCCAATGGAGGGTCAGCTATGGGTTGGTCCCAACAACAATAAAGTATTATATAACTTTTTTTTAACACTAATTAAATACTTTATTGAATAAATATCAAACAAAATGCATTCAAATGAGTTCTAAAAAAACTATTTTAAAAGCCTTTCTATTCAGGCTAAGGGCAAACACAATAAAGGCAGGTATGCTAGTTTAACATAATTGGCTGATTTAATACAGCACTTATATCTTTTAGTCCACAAGTATATTATTAAATGATAGAGAACATCTAATACAACCATTTCTACATAACTAGGAAATAAATTTCTAAGAAAGAAAGATTTTACAGACCCCATCTTTTATACCCACCCCAACAGTCTAAGAGGATAAAGCCAATGACTTTCCTCACAAGAGCTCACGACTAAAGTCGTGTTGCTATCAAAATCTGTATTTCTGATCCGTTATGAGCATTGAGACAAGATTCAAATATTCCCAAAGAAAGAAGCACAGTGCACGTTGTGATCGCCTATTCAGCAACAGCGAGCACAGCATTCAGAACTATCTCATCCCAGGAATTAAATAAGGTCAGCCACATTCATTGGCATCTCCTCCGCTGTTGTATTGTAGAAAGTCTCAATGTCACGAAGAATCCGCTTGTCTTCTTCAGTAACAAAGTTAATAGCCACACCTTTTCTCCCAAATCGACCCCCTCTGCCAATTTCGCTCTTTATTCAAACAGTGTGCTGTTTCGCTTATGATTCCACGTCCTAAATTACGTCAACGCCGTTTCTGAGTGCCATCTCGTCATCAACTGCTGCTATCGACTCCTGTGAATATAGTTTTCACGATTGGTAGGTAGGTCATAATTTATAACCAAAGATACTTGTTGAACATCAATCCCACGTGCCAACAAGTCAGTGGTGATCAGAACCCTGCTTGACCCTGATCGGAATTCCCTCATGATCACATCTCTTTCCTTCTGGTCCATGTCACCATGCAGTGCAGAAACTGTAAAGTCCCTAGCATGCATTTTCTCAGTTAGCCAGTCCACCTTGCGCCTTGTATTGAGAAAGATAACAGCCTGTGTAATCGTCAGTGTCTCATACAGGTCACAAAGTGTATCCAATTTCCATTCCTCTCTTTCAACATTAATATAAAACTGTTTGATTCCTTCAAGGGTCAATTCTTCTTTTTTCACCAGAATTCGAATTGGATCCCTCATGAATTTTTTTTGTTACCTCCAACTTTTAATTTTTAAAAATTACTTTATCATTTGACGTTTTAGGCATTACATAGCCAAAATATGGTTATCATATACAATAAATGAACATTGATGTCTTAATCCCATATAGTATAGAGACCATATTAAAATTTCTTTGAATGTTCCTAAAATGTCCTAAAACATTTTTTATTTTTGGTTCATGAAATAGTTAAGGATCTCAAGTTGCTTTTGGCTATTATGTAAATCAGTATTTTTAGTCTTTAAAAGAAATTCTATTTCAAATGCTTTTATCATTGTTTAATCAGCATTACTATGTAAAATACATTTTCTAACTTATTACAGTAACTTGAACTTTTACAAAGGCAAAATTTCTATTACCATCTGTTTGAAACATCATACTTATTATGACCATAGGTTATAAAGACATGATTTTATAGAGGTGAAACATTTAAAGTAATTCATTTGAAACATAACATATTTTGAAAATTGCAGAGATTGATGCAGTTGTGTTAGTATGCCAGAGATTTGATGCATAGCTTTGGTCTCTGCTTTGTAACCTCCTGGTAGCGTTTACCAAGATCTTGACAAGAATATGATTTTATCTTTGTCTTGTTTTCTGCTTATACTGACCATACTTTCATAAGAGTGATTGAATGAGAAAATGTAGGAAAACTATGTAAAGAGGAAGCATATGTATTTTTCAAAGTGTGGGTTTTGAAATTTTGAAGATTTTGCTGAAGTCTAGTTCTTTTGCTTCAGCTTCATACTAAAGGTTAATAAAGCATGATTAACCTTTCCAAGACCAAATTACTGCTTTGAAAATTTTTTTAAACCATGTGTTTTCAATATTGGAAGCTGTTTGAATGAAATAAAGACAACAAAGTAAGGGTTTTTTCCCCCAGGTGTTTGAATTTTAATATAATTAGTTGGACACAAATATCTCTGGAGGTCTCTGGTGCTGGCATTGGTGGGAATAAGGCCCATTACTTAACATTTATATACTTACACAGGCTCCCATCAGATGGCAGCTCACATTAAAAGCGAATTACCCATTTCTCCCTAAATCTTACAGGTGGAAAATATTGGTGAGGCTCTGTATGTACTATAATAGTCACAAGGATAGAGTTTAAATGGCCATGGTTTTACCAAAAGTATGAATCTCTGGTAGAGCACGCTTTGCCTGTCCCACAAATTGCTTATCTTCAGAATGGCCATAGCTTTTCTTGGCCTTTTACTCTGTCAGATATATTTTAAAATGAATTTTCAAGTTACATGAAAAAATATTTTTGGGAGCTCTGATGGCCTAGTGGCAAGAAGCTGCACTGCAATCCCAGAGGTGTGCAGTTCGGATCCACCAGATGGTTTGCTGGAGAAGGAGGGACAGTCTCCTCCTGTATCAGTCAGATCCAATTTGACTGTACACACACACACACACACACACACACACACACACAATAATAAAATAAGATAAAAAGAGTTCTACAAATAATAAAATTTTTTAAAAAAAGAAAAATATTTTTTAGATTTTGTTTAGAATGAATCCAATTTTAATTGGCTTAATTTGAGAAGGATTGATATTTTTACTACACTGTGTCTTCTTAACTAGCCTATAAATAATACATGAAAAGAGTGCCTGGAATTCAGTGCCAGTACCTGGAACATTGTTACCATCATCATTGTTCTTCATGATCAAGACTAGTAGAATGTCTTCGAGTCCTCTCATGATGGAAGATCAGCATTATATTTACAAACAGTACTGTTATGCCGTAAGCATATATAGACAAATAGGAAGAAAAACCCTCAGAGTAGAACAAAGTACAGTGTATTTCTTTCTCAATAGTAGTGGACTTGGTTAGGTTTTATATAGAACGTCATTGATGATAAAAAAAAAAAAATAAGTCACTAACATTCTGTTTTCACTGCTCACATTGGCAACTGTGAGGATTTGATAAAATTTTCAATCTGATAATGTGTTTGGGAGAAATGGACTCTCATGTCTTCTGGTGGAAGAGTAAATTAGAACAACCTTGTAGAGAGAAACTTGGCAATATTGATCAAAACTATAAATTCAGTTAGCCTTTTGACCCTGCAGTCTGACTTGTGGGAATTCAATACAAGGCATCAATTCTTTGGTTTTCCTTAGTTATTGTTCAGCTTCCATATGAATACAAAGCAATTGACAATACCAGGGCTTGAATCAGATGTACTTTAGTCTTTAAAATGACATATGAGTAGATTTGTTGTCATTGTTACATGCTGTTGAGTTGACTATGACGCACAGTAACGTGAGTAGGACTCTGAGTCTCATCCTGTCCTGAGCTAATTTCACCATCTTGGACACACTTGACTCATTGCTGCAGTCACTGTGTCAGTTCATCTCGTTGAGGTGGTCTCTTGTGCTGATGCACTGCCTTGGCAAGCATGATGTCCTTTAAGGACTGACCTCTCCTGACAACGTGCCCCAGGTTTTGTGAATCCGGTTCACCATTCTTGCTTCCAAGCAGCATCCTGGTTTCACTTTCTCTAGAATACAACTGTTCTCTTGGCAATCCATGGGATATTCAGTACTCTTCTTAAGCAACAAAGCTCTTCTGTCATCCTTAGTCACAGTCCAACTCTGAGATATGTAGCAAGCAATTGTAAAGACCATGGCTTGGATCAGGTGCATCTTAATTTTTAGAGTAACATCATTGCTCTTTAGCACTCTGGAGAAGTCTTTGACAACAGATTTTTCCCAATGAACTTATGTTTTTATTTCTAGCCTGTCACTGTCATGCTTTTATTTGTTTGTTTCATTCGCTTGAAGTTATTATTATATATAAAATAGGGGCTCTGGTGACCTAGTAGTAAGAATCTGTCCTGAAGGTATGTGGTTCAAATCCACGAGCTACTCTGTGGGAGAAGGATGGGCTGTCTCCTCTCCTGTGATTTACTGCCTTTGAAAATTTGTTGGAGGGTTAGTTGTGGGTCATTTATGACTTGACAGTACACAACAGCAATAACAAATAAAACAAAAGTATTTGGCAATCCCAACAATATAGTCAGTCCTTTTTTAAAAAAGTCTTTATCACTGTCATTCTTTAGTACCATAGGAATTTTGAGCTATTTGAATGACTTTCTATTCAAGTTAAATTTTAAAATCTTTACTTTTTCTTTCACTGTAGTTTCCATGCTCATATTGTCTTCTCTGCCCTTTTTTATTTTTCTCTTGCTTTTTACCTGTCCTGTTCTTTTGTACCAGAAGGCTGATTTTTGAGATCTTGTCAGTCAGTTCTAAATCCTTGCTTTCAGTTATTTGGCCTGCTCAACTAGCATTCATTTGGGGTTTGAATCTCTCTCAGCTCTAAATATGGAATCTTCTTCTCTGTGTTAGATTGGCATTCTTTAGAATTTCAGGGGGACTACTTGAGAGGCAGAGTTCTTTCAGTGGCCTGAGTATTTCTTCCGGTCAATCTGGAGACAGGCAGCTAACTTTCAAGAGTTAAAGCGCTTACGATTCCATTTGGTTCTGCTCAGACATTTAAATTCTATGTAGTCTAGGAATTACCTTGCTTCAGATTATTTTTATCCAGGTAACTATAAATGCAACTTATTTTATTAATTTGTTTCAGACAATTGTGTGTACTCCGGTGGCTACCCCACAGCCTACTCCTCCTCAGTCACCTTCATCATTTACTAAGGAGCGTGTGTGGGTAAAAACTCCAGATTCTTCTCCCGGTGATTCAGATCACGATGAAGCATTTCTTGTGAATGAAATTTATGTTGAAAAAGGTAAAAACTTCATCACTGTAACTCATTTTTAACTTTCAAAGCAAATGATTTTAAAAACATGTTGCTTTCAAGTCAGGGAGTTTTCACTATAGTCACTGTTAAATAAAGATTCATAATTTGTTGTATAAAAAATTTTATAGATTAATAGGCAAATACATATCTGTCTTCCAGTAGTTTTAAATAATTTTTTGCAATAAAATAATTAATTAGTGATTTTAACGTATATAAGGATCTCTCTGCATAATTGAGAGGGAGTTACACTGCTAACCCAAAGGCTGTGTCTCTGGCAGTTCAAGTCCACCAGCTGTTCTAGTTGTCATTTTCAGCCTTAGAAACCTGTTGGAGGGTCACTCTGAGGCAGAACTGACTTGACAGCAGTGAGTTTGTGAAGTTTCAAAGTATACACTCTAATAGAGCCTTAAAATAAATATATGGTGATCTTAAAGCTTTTCTTAAACTTCACTAAATAAATTTATAAATTTTATAATTGATGGTTATTATAATTGTAGCCATTTCATTTGTATACCGAAATATTACATGATATCCCTTTTCCAAGGAATAGCCTCACCCAGCTACATGTCCAGAGTATGAAAGATGAAGCTTTGCCATCTTTGCCTCCAAGGAGCATTCTTCTTGCACTTTTCCCAAGACATATCTGTCTGATCTTTTGGCAGTCCATGGGATGTTCAGTCCTCTTCTCCAACACTACAAAGGTGGATTAACACGGCAACTTCAGCAGTGGGCTCTAGTGTGTCAGAGATGATGAGGTGGCACAGGATAGGGCATGGGTCAGGTCGGCTTTTATAGGGTCGCTATAAGTCATGCTGGACTTAACTACACCGAACAACCACCACTAAAAAAAAAAATAAAGGGATTTCTGAAATAACATATTTTGCCTTTCAGGGTTTTTTAAGAGCCCTGGTAGCACATGGTTAAGTGCTCAACTTCTAACCAGAAGGCTAACAGTTCTATCTCATCAGCCACTCCGTAAGAGAAAGATGTGACAGTCTCCTTTCTAAAGATCATAGCCTGGGAAACCCTGTGGGGCGGTTTTACCCCATCCTGTAAGGTTACTCTGAGTTTCAATCAGTTAGTTAGCCATGACTTTTTTAGAAGCCCTGGTGGTTCAAATAGTTAAAGCATTTAGACTGCTAGCCAAAAGGTCTGTGGTTCAAGTCCCCAGGAGGAGATGTGGTAGTCTTACCAACCCTGTGGAGCAGTTCTACCCCTCTGTAGGGGCACATGAGTCAGAACTGACAAACAGGCAACAAGTTTGGCTTTGTTGTTGGGATTGTTTACTGACTTCTTTTTTCTTTAATTCTTTAGGAAATGATATACCTGCTGCCTCCACACTTGTCAATACACCACCAGTTACACCTGCTGCTACACCTCCTCCAGCAGCAGCTCTTACTCCAACTTTGTCTGAGATTTCCATTGATAAATTGAAGATATCAAGCCCAGAGTTCCCAAAGCCTTGGAGTGATGGAGACTTGCCTCTCGAGGAAGAGAATCCTAACTCTCTCAGTGAAGAACCTCTTCACCCGAGAGCTATGTAAGCAAAAATACATTGGCTTTTAGTACTTGTATATTCTATTTTAAAGTTGACTTATATTACTCATTTGAAAGCATCACATAAGATAAGTGAAGCTTTAAAAACCTTGAACTATTTTAAAAGAATTTTGTTTTTGCAGATTTTTATCAAATTTATTTATAAAGTAGCTGTTTTTATTATAGTATGTGCTAAAATTAATAACACTATTAATGAGAAGCCTCAGGTCAACATAATCATAAATTTTCATCTGGTTAAATAAATCCATAATGTCTGATATTAACACCTCCATCCATGGCTCAGTTCCCCAATTCCTCTGGTCTTTTGAGTTTGGTGAAAAGATTTGCTAGAAGGTCCTACAGAGATTCAGACTCATCAGGGGAATGACTTATGTTACTGTGGGTCTGCAGGCCAGTTTCTTCACAGAAACTGGTATAGCAGTGGGCCAAGCTGGGTGCCACTGATGCTTAAAACAGTCACACTGCTGCTCCTGTGTTGGTGTTTTTCACACACACCCTCATTATGGAAAGTGTTCTTTTGTATTGATTCTCCAGCTCTTACTGATTTGTGAGCCATAATGATTGGTGAAACCGTGTGTCTGCAGTTAAGGTATTTGGAGACCAGAGGGGGCAAAGATAATGGCAAAAAAAGCCAACATTTATGCTAACACCACAGTGGTCTAGTGGTTAAGAAGTTGCACTGCCAGCCTAAAGAGAGGCTATTCAAATCCACCAACTGTTCTGAGGGAGAAAGATAATCTCCTTTCATGTGTTTTCCAGCCTCTGCAAAACCACAGGAGGGGTCAGCTCTGAGTTGGTTCTGACTCAACAGCTCATAATAACAACAACAAATACATTAACCTCTCAAAAGTTGTTTGACATAGATGAAAACCAAGTTAATCATATCATATTGTTAGGGAGTTCTAGTGGTATAGTCTGTAGACGTGTACTGCTAACCAAAGGCCTCACTTCTCTGGCAGTTTGAATCTACAGGATGAAGATGGGCAATCTCCTCTTGTCTGATTTACAGCCTTAGAAACCCACTTAAAGGGTCAGCTATGAGTAGATTTTGACCTGATGGCAGTAAATTTTAGATGTGATCATAGTGTTAATAAAAATTTCTCCTAGTGAGGATCTTCGTTTATTATCATCAGTTAACTTTTATGGAAATACACCACATATTCCATGGATTTGCTTTATGAAGGGAAGAGCTTCCAAGGTAGTTTATGACTAAAGCTTGAAACAATTTTATAAACTCTTTCTAATGTAAATCTTTTTCATTAATTATACTAGTGCAAATTATAGAAATACTTTGCTAAAGGTTTGCTTAGTTCTTTTGAATCTGTTTTTCACGTCAACATGAATTTCAATGACTTTAGACATTTGAAATAAGCCTTTATCTTCTTAGTGTAATGTCTGTGGCCAAGGATGAAGAACCAGAGAGTCCACATTTCCCAGCTCCAACTGCACCTCCAGACCCAGTTCCCATGGCACCCCTTCCTGATGGTGTGAAGGCACCTCCTTCCACACATTTGCCAAGTTCGGAGTCATCAACACTGGAGAGCACCTTGAGCACTACTGTCACAGAAATGGAAACTTTAGATAGACCCATCTCTGAAGGAGAGATTTTATTTAACTATGGTAAAAATATGGCTCCCAAGAGTAAGTTAATTTCTTTCAATTGATATTACTCCTATAAAATAGAATTAGAGTATGAAAATTTTCTAAGTAATGCTTTTTTATTTTAGAGTGTTCTTACTTAATTTTTAAGACTTAATAGGGTATTAGAGTTCTTATATGATACAAACTGTTAAAATTCTCAGCTGCAAAGTGAAAAGTTGGAAGAAAGTCTGACTCCCTCCAGAGACACCTGGGGAAAAGCCTGGTGATTGTCTAAAAAAAGTTGGCCTTTGAAAACCCTGTGGCACACAGTTCTACTCTGACGTGTATTGTTGCCAGGAGTTAGAATCAACGTGGTGACACCTGGTTTAATGCTGTATAATTGAAAGAATAATAACTCTGGTAAAGGTAATTCCTCTGAGCCTTAATATCATAAAATAAAATATACCTCATAATTCCACTGTTCAGAAGTATCCCTCATAAGAGTTTTAAGTTATACCTTTCAAACCTCTTGAGAATTTTTTTTCTGTGTAGATACAGACCCATACAGAAGAATTTCATAAAACATCATATGAGCAAGAGCCTGTAGTGATGAAGGAAGAAGTTCAAGCTGCTCTGAAAGAATTGGCAAAAAACAAGGCCCCAAGAATTGATGGCATACCGAATGACATATTCCAGCAGACTCAACAGACGCTGTCCTGATTGTGCTAAGTTGTGCCAAGAAATCTGGAGGACAACCACCTGGCCTATATTTGTTTCATTCCAGAGAAAAGTGACCTGACAAAGTGCAGAAATTATCGAACAATATTATTAATATCACATGCAAGCAAGATTCTGCTGAAAATTATCCAAAAATGATTGGAGCAGCACATCAACAGAGAACAGCCAGATGTGCAGGTTGGGTTAAGAAGAGGCTGTGGGACTAGGGACTAATGTTAGATGGATCTTGGCTGAAAGCAGGGAATACCAGAGGAATGTCTATTTGTGTTTCATTGAATATGCAAAGGCATTTGACAGTGGATCACAACAAACTGTGGCTGACTCTGGGAAGAATTGGAATCCCAGAACACTTGATAATGCGAAACACTTGTGCTTATGCAAAACCTATACTTGGACCAGGAGGCAGTCATTAGAACAGAGCAAGGAGACACTGCATGGTTCAAAATCAGGAAGGGTGTATGCCAGAAATGTATTCTGTCTCTGTACCTTTTCAATCTATATTCAGAACAGATCATCCAGGAGACTGGACTGTATCAGAGGAATGTAGCATTAGGATTGGTGGAAGATTCATCAACAGTCTGTGTTACGCAGATGACACAACCCTTCTTGCTGAAATTGAGGGGGACCTGAAGCACTTGCTGCAGAAGATCAAGGGCCGCAAACCTTCAATATGGATTCAGGGCTGTTGTACTTAGATACGCTATGAGTTGCAAGCGACTCAGTGACACCTGACAACATAAGTAATTTGCCTTTGAAAAATAGCATCATACTATTTGAAAACAGAATTTTACCTATAATATATGCATCTTTTAAATTTATATAGACCTGCCTCATTTTTAAAATTAGTTATGCAGTCTATTTAAACATTGTCTTATATTGTTGTTGATTTCCATTGAGTCGAGCATGACTTGTGGCGATGATATGAACATAAGACCTGAAGCCTTAAAAAAAAAAAAAAGACCTGAAGCCTTTCTGTACCCATCATCCAGAGACATGTTAGGAAATGGATGCCACTCCTGTTTCCAGAATTGTCATATGATGGGCATTTATATTGTTTTCAGCATTTCATTATAGATATAATTCTTCAGTTACCATCCTTGCATGTGTTTTTGTACACTTGTTAACTTCCTTGGAATAAGTACTGAGAAGTGGAATTACTAAATCAGAGGGAGTATTCACTTTTGAAATACTGAAGTCATCTCCAAAAAGGTTAATCCTTTTTAATTATATCAACAGTTCAGAGTGTCCATTTCTCAGTTTCCTAGTTAAAGTTGACAAATACATGGATTTACTTTCTGTTTATCTGTTAAGTGAAGCAAAAATACAAAAACCTCAGATTTAATATACTTTTAAAAAAAGTATATATATAAGGTTGAGTATCTTGTGACTTGTTTATTAATTCTGTCAGTATTTGTTTTGTATACATTTAAATGTAGCAGTGTGTGGCTTTATAGGGAGCACTGGTGGCACAGTAGGGATTGGCACTGCTAACCCAAAGGCCATGCCTCTGGTTCAAACCCTCCAGGGGTTCTGAGGGTGAAAGATGCAGCCTTGGAAACCTGGTTGAGGGTCAACTCTAAGTCACTTCCTACTTGATGGCAATGAAAAGGAAGAATGGCTTTATGGTCAGATTATGTTCTAAGTTTCTTCATTGTGTTACTTCCTTTTTCTAAAATTTTATGTTTTAATTTTTAGATTTAGAAGATGGGGGGCTATATCTGACAAACCTGAATGATAGCTTATCCAGTACTCTACAAGATGCTCTTGAAATGGTAAGGAAATATTGACTGAAAAAAAATGGATTCTAACATTTGATGAACTTGTTGACTTTGATTAGCGATTTTCTCACTTATTTGAGCTACAGACACAAAAATTAATAAAAATATTTGTGGCGTTCAAATTCACCAGCTGCTCTGCTGGAGAAGGAGGAACAGTCTCCTCCTGTACCAGTCAGATCCAATTTGACGGTACACACACACACACACACACACATAAAATAAATTTGTGGCAGATACGTGATGTGAAAGACACATAACAAAATTAATAATTTTTAAGTGAATAATTCATTTTCATAAGCAGATTTACGGTATTGTTGTAACCACTATTTCTCTGTAGGAGAGAAACCTTTTTTATCACTCTACAAGGAAACCTCATACCTTTCAAGCAGCTACTCTTCATTTTCCCTCTAACAAATCTTATGCATTTCATAATAGTATTTTCTCTTAATTGTGAGAATGAAACGGGAAACCTTTTTAACCTTTTTTTGTCCTTAATAGTTAAAAAAGACATAATGAATAAGGCAGTGAAAATAGCTCAATGCAAAGTGTGCATTATATACTTAAAATATTTTAAGCAAAGTCTTTGCCATTTAAACCCACCTGTAAATGTTTTTTTTTTAAATTTTTTTATTATTTTTTGTGTGTGTACTGTCAAATTAGATTTGAATGGTACAGGAGGAGATTGTCCCTCCTTCTCCAGCAGAGCATCTAGTGGATTTGAACTGCTCTCCTCCGGGATTGCAGTGCAGCTTCTTGCCACTAGGCCACCAGAGCTTGCCTAAAAAATTTTTTTTAAACCCACTTTCTAAAGGTCTATTTGTTACTTTTCCCTAATTTAGTTATAATTCCCTTAGTTAAAATAATACTTTGTTAAAATAATTGAATTTAGTGGCTTTTTGAAAGTCCTGGAATTGGATCCATGGTTAGTAACCCTTCCTAGTTATTATCCATCTCTGGAAGAAAATAATTTCAGTGTATATATGTAAAATACATATTTATTGCTATAATATAGGGAAAAGCCTTAAGTAATTATAATACAGTGAAATAGTTCTTGTATGATTTACAGCCTCCTGAAAACTTACTGGAGGGTCAGCTATGAGATGTTCCAACGCAGCATAGATATATTTATAAATGTACATCGTATATAGAAAAGATAGTAAGAATTTCTTTTGAAAAAAACTTTTAAGAAATTTAAATTGTCTTTACTTTTTATATGTTTTCAAACCCCTAAGGAAGGAAATGTTATCACACGTCAGCTTAAGTGTGTGGTGTCACTTTGTGTACTGTATGGATATGTGGCAGGAAACTATGCGAAATGAAAAATTGATGATACTGTCAAACATGCTTACAAATCCTTCTAACAGTTACATGATAAAGGCTCTGATTTTCATGTTTTTCAGTGATAAATTTGTGGCTTAAATTTAACCTACTTTACTTTATGCAGTTGTTTATATTTCAGGTAAACCTAAAGGATTTATATAGCTGGAAAGGGCTATATTGGAAATAAAAGTAAATAGAATAAAAAACTATCTTCTTGCCAATAAATTATAGTAGGATTTAAAAAATAGTGACTGTTATTTCCTTTTCTTTTAGGAAGAAGATCCTCTCAGTGAAGGGCAGATAATTAGGATACCTAATAAAAAACTTGACGAAGATACAATTCTTTCTCTTCTTGCTAAACAAAACCAGGAATTGTTCTCACAGGAAGCAGCCCTTCATTCTGAGGTATTTTTTTAACCTTAACAAAATTTTTTCATAGATATAAATATAAGAATAAAATTTTCCAGCTTTTATTTTAAGGCATGTTAATTTTTATATTTTTTGATGGCCAGTTTTGTATTAAATTTAGCCTGAAATTGTAAACTCAGACTCACTACCATTGAACCAGTCCAACAATACTGATAAGGATCGGGTTTCCCAGGCTGTACATGTTAATGAGATGAGGCAGAAACGGCCCCTCTTTCCCCAGGTGCTTGTGGTGGACTTTAACAACTGTAAATGTGTGCGACTTTGTAATAGTAGAACATACTGTGGAACATACTATCTGCTCTCTTTAACCTTAAATTACAGAGCTATAGAATTTTATAGCTGGAAGAAATACAGGCCATCTGTTCAAATCCTCTTACTGAAAAACTGAATGCTTTTTAAATAAATTCACTTACTAAAATTTTTTCTTTCTGAAACCATTCACCCAGTACTACATGCCAAAACATGCTCAAAATACAGAGATAAGTGAGACACTACCCTTACCTTTCAGCAGTTTACAGTCAGAAGAGATAGGTCTTACGTAATTACAGTACAGTGAAACAGTTCTTGTGTGATTATAGCCTCCTGAAAACCTACTGGAGGGTCAGCTGTGAGTTGTTTCAAATTCAACAGCAGTGGGTTTTTTAGTTTTATGAGCATGAAAGAGGAAAGTTTCTACTTTCAAGTTGAATGATACTTCATGTTGTTTTTATGTGCCTGCGACTCAGAGTGAACCTTATGTGCAGCACCTCTGAACCCGCCTTCTCCTGAGCCAGTCCTCATTGTCTCTGACAGACCTAATCCCACTTCTCAAGTCATTGAGTCAATTTATCTGATCCCGAGTCTTCCTTTCCTCCACTGTCCCTTCACCCTTCCACGCATGATGTTCTTCTCCAAGGACTAGTCCCTCCTGGCCATGTGCCCAAAGTATTTGAGAAAGAACTTCAAAAGCCTTGTCTCCAGGAAGTAACCTGGTTTCAGCTTCTCTAGGACTGACCTGTTTGTTCTCCTGGCAGCACATGGTATGTTCAATACACTTCTCCAGTACCACAACTCAAAGGCGTAGATTCTTCTTCTATCATCCTTAGTTATTTTCCAGCTTTCTGATGCATAATTGCAAAGACCATGGCCTGCATCAGACACACCTTAGTCTCCAGACTAACATTGTTGCTCTTCAGTACTCTGAAGAGGCCCTAAAAGCAGATTTTCCCAATGCAATTCCTCTTTTGATTTCCTGGCTGCAGATACCAAGAGTGATGGTTATGAAACTGAGCAAGCTATAATTGCTAAAAATCTCAATCTCCTCTCCTTCTTTCATGATGCTGCCATTTGGTGCAGTGGTAAGAATATTTGTTTTCTTGATGTTGAGCTACAATCCATATTGAAGACTACAGTCCTTGACCTTCTGCAATATGCACCTCATGTTGTCCTCAGTTTCAGCAGGCAGAGTTATGTCATCTGCATTAACACAGGTTGTTGGTTAGTCTTCCTCCATTCCTGATGCCCCATTTCTCCTCATAAAGTCCAGCCTTCTGAATGATCTATTCTGTATAGGTTGAAAAAGTTTGATGATAGGATGCATCCTTGATACACACCTTTCCTGATCTTGAACATGCAGTTTTCCCTGCTTTGTTCTGACTATTCCTGGTCCAAGTATATGTTTTATATAAGCACAATTAAGTGTTCTTAATGGGATTAAGAAAGGAATTCCATTCTTCTCATTGTTAGCCAAAATTTGTTGTGATCCACATAGAATTTCATGAAGCAACACTGATCAAGAGGAATGGTGATGAAGGAGGGAATTCCAAAGGAATTTGCAAAAATACAAGGTCCAGGACTTGATGGAATACCAACTTGCCATATTTCAGCAAACAGATATTAACCTGGCTGTGCTCACCTGGAGCACAACTACGTGGCCAACTGACTGGAAGAGGTCTATATTTATTCCCATTCCAAAAAAAGGTGACCTAACAGAGTGTGGAAATTATCAAACAGTATCACTAATATCATTTGCAAGCAAGATTCTGCTGAAGATTACCCAAAAATTACAGAGAACTGCCAGATGTGCAAGCTAATTTAGAAGAGGACATGACACTAGGGACATCATAGCAAACATTAGATGGATCTTGGCCAAAAGCATGGAGTAAAAGAGGGGTGTCTGTCTGTGTTTCATTGATGCTTCATAGGGGTTATGATACTGACCTGGGTTTTTAAATATTTAGTGGAATTTCAATAAGGAGCAATGAAGAGGAAAGAAATTTCCAAGGGAGATTTTTTTGGATCATGTTAAGATTTTGGCATTATGGAGCCCATTAATTCTTTTGAGCAAGGGATTCAAGTATTGTCATATTTAGGAAGGAGATTGTATCTTATAATCTTGCTGCTGACTTGGGCCATATGCCTCAAGGACAGCATTCTTTTCTCGCAGGTTTGGCCTCTACAGGGTATCTAATCTGTTACCAAAGTTTCTTTGTCATTATAAATAATGAGAGTCTTTAGATACAGACTTACATAAATCTCTACAATTGACTTAAGGAAAGAATAGGTTAGTAGAAAAATTGGTCCAGTCAAGGACCATTCTGTCATAAACTGAGTGATGTTCAGGTTTAACCAGACATGTATTCCAGTTATGTTTTGTAGACCTATAGCTGTCAAATTCTCGCTTCTAGGTACCCCACCTTTGACTTTTCTCCCCGCCTTCCAGCCAGTTATGAATTCTGTAACCTTTAGTTCTTGATTCAACAGTGTAAGAATGTATCTAGTTTTGTGGTCTGGTGGTATGGTCGTTTTCATTTTGTGATAGTGGCTGTTTCTCCAGTTGAGACCATCTTAATCCTTCTATAAGCTTCATTTGCTTTTCTTATAAAAACAAAAAATATAGGAAGAATTATAGGTAAGTGTATCAAGAATGCTCTCTAGAAGAGATGACATAAATATAAATAGGACATGTTATCAGGAAGGCCAGTCTCTGGAACATTATGCTTGCTAGACGCTCAACAAAAATGAGAAGAACCCTTAAAGTGGAATGACCCAGTGGCTGCAACAATGGATTGAAACATAGCAGCAATTGTGAGGATGTGGTAGGATCCCAGGCAGTAGTAGTATTTCATTCTTTTGCGCAGATGGCTACTGTGAGTCAAAACTCACTTCATGACAACATCAATAACAACATAGATAAGTGAGGGCAAGGTAGAACACCTGAAAAACACCATTGGAGTAGTCCAGACAACAGAGAATGAGAACACAAACCAAGATAATTACAATAGAAATAGAAGAGAAATTATGTTTTTTAAGGGTATAAAATTGTTCACTGATTGAGAGAAGTTATAAAAAAGGGTGTTGTTTTTTTTTTTAAGGATAATTCTGGGGCTTTTCACTGGGAAGTATGGCTTAGTGGTTGTATAGTTGTTGACTTGTTGTTATTGTTGTTCTGTGCCGTCAAGTCAGCACATAACAACAACAACAAGTTAACAATAACATAACCATGACTTAGAAATTAAAAAAGAAGAGTACCAAGTTTTGTGAGGAAGAAAATGAATTCTATTTTACACACTCAATTGTGCTTATGGAAAGTCTAGGTGGAAATGCATAGTCATTCAGCATAGTTTATGGAAATGCATAGTCATTCAGCATAGTTTAATGATGGTGCTGTGACTAGAATTCTTCATCTTTGTGTAGTGTCCTTTCTGTTGTGTTATGATATCTCTGTATGAATAAGGAAGACTGAACAAGAATTGATACCTTTGAATTGTGCTATTACAGAAGAGTACCGAGCATTCCATGGACTGCCAAAAGAAACACAGTTTTAGAGGACAGCAGCCAGGATGCTACTTAGAGGCAGGATGGAAGAGAAGCCTGTCTTCCTTTTGTAAAAAACATCATGCTGGGAAAGGTAGTGGATCCCTCAATGAGAGGAATTGAAATGGTGTCTACAACTCTGGTCAGTCTTTCTTCCATGGAGCAACTGGTGAATTTGATCATCAGTTTTTGAGAGGCAGTGAATTATGTAGCAAACCACACCACTAGAGCTCCTTCATTCTAATCTATTATGCAGTCCTTCATTCTTATATATTATGCAATCCATAATATAGTTTTCTTTGCTAACACCACAATTTAAAGACATTCAAAACAAGACAACAACAAATTGGGGGAAAAGGGGAAGGAAAAATAATACTCTAATTCGAATATACATATATACTTACACACACATGTGCGTGCACACACACACATATGTATGTATGTGTATACACACACACACACACACACACACCCCAACAATTAGAGCCAAAAAGAAGGATATAGATTTCTACCAGCTTTTGCAGTCTGATATTGATCAAAGATGCAGTCAAGATTCATTAATAATAATTGGTGACTGGAATACAAAAGTTGGGAACAAAAAAAGGATCAGTAGTTGGAAAATATGGGCTTGGTGACAGAAATCAAGCTAGAGATAGAATGAGAAAATTTTCTATAATCATTGATTGATTTATTCATTGTAAATACCTTTTTTAAAAAACACAGCAACTATACACGTGGAACTCACCTGATTCTTCACACAGGAATCAGACTGATTACATCTGTGGAAAGAATCATTGGAAAGACTCAATATCAACTGTGAAAAATCCAGGCCAGGTGCTGACTATGGATCAGACCACTAACTACTCATGTGCAAATGAAAATTGAAGATAAATGAAAACAATTCCACAAGAGCCAAGATAGTACCTTGAGTCTGTTGTGCCTGAATTGAAAAACCATTTCAGTATGTTTGAGGCCTTGATCATTAATGAATGAAGACCAGATGAGCTGTAGGATGTTATCAAGAACATCATCTGTGAAGGTAGCAAAAGGTTATTACAAAGAGGAGGAAGACAAGACCAAGATGGATGTCCAAAGAGACTCTGAATATTGTGGGAGAATGCCAAGAAATCAAAGAGAAGAAATCAGGAAGTAAAAGAGTTAAACAGAAGATTTCAAAAGAT